GTTTGGGGTCTAGGGTCTAGGGTCTAGGGCTCAGGGCGGGCTAGGGCGGCCGTGCGATGTGGGATTCCACGTGAACGCAGACCCCTGCTTACACCTTCCTCTCTTAGGCAGAACTAGACTTGGATCCAAGACTCTCTTCCCAAAGGTGGAGACCTGGAAACTTTGAAGCCCAAGGACTCGAACTCCAAAACCCTGAGTTCTGTACCCTGAGACCTTGAGCCATGAAACCCCAAATCCACAGAGGGACAGTGCAGCTGTAGAGATGAGTTTGGCATGCCCACTGGCGAGAATGATTCAGACCGCCTATGTGGCTATCAATCTGTGCTGTCTCCTGAATCTCCTGATTCCTGATGGCCGGTGGGTGCGTTCCGTCACTTCGCTGTAGGCATAAAGGCATATCATGCACCCTAAACCCCAGAACGTCAACCCCGAATCCGAGGCCATCTGAGATGAAGGATGGTTGCCGGTGTGATAACTCGTAAGCCAAGCGAAGCCCAGGTGAAGCTTCGTGACGACTGCACCAAAAACCACCCCGCGCCCAATCTTCCCAACAGTCGTAGATCTTACCCTTCTCGAAACTAACATGAAACGGCGCATCGCCCTATCTTTGACATGCAGTCGTCCATAAACCTGAACCAACTGTTCAAGCTCCCGCCTTGCGGAGGGACTGTCGGAAAAGCTAAAGCAGTCGCGCCACAGCTCCTGAAGAACACCCGGAGACTCGCATCTTACCTTAACTAGTAAATCCTAGAAGGGATCCTTGATCAGCAACCCCCTGCCAGGGCCTGTGCATTTCTGTGGTGGGGAATATACTAAGACCATAACAATAGGTTGCAGGAGGTACTAAGACCATAACAATAGGTTGCGGGAGGTATACTTTCCTTAACATCAGAGAGATGGTGGGCTAGCTATGCGCATGTTCGGTAGGCAACTTCGGTAGGCGACTTCGATTCGGTAGCGACTTCGACCTAAAGCCCTGAGCCCTAAAGTGATAAAAGCTGACGACGCTGAGCTATGAAATGATGCGCGTATTGGATTTCGCAAGGGGTTTCTCACCGATATAATTGGGTTTATGGCTTTATAGGGTTTTGAACCCTGACATTGTGCGCCCGACAATAAGATCCAGTCAACCTAAGCCCCAACTCAATGGATCTAAAGGATGATGTACTCACCAACCCGCACACCCTGCACACGTAAAACCCTGATAAGAACCCTGGCCAAGCCTCACGAGAAAAAAAGAAACACAACAACGAAAACACTGATCACACGTTAGTTATGCAGCCCCTATTAAAAAAAAAAATCTCAAACACATGCATAAGGTGCCCTTGATTCGAGAGTCAGGGTTTCAGTTTTAGGGAGAAGTTGCAAAAGCTTACAAACTCGGCAGGAAGTCCCGGGCCAAATAAACCCCTGAGCCCTGAACTCTAATCCGCTTCACCCTACAAAAGCCGGGGCTCTTCAACCCTAAAACCTTCATCAACACCCAAATGCTAGTAAAACCGTAAGCCGTAAACGTCTTCTGGTTGTGGGCCGTTCGAAGACTTTTTCGCACCCGCACAGCACAGCTCCGCCACAAGGGTCCGCGACGTCGAGCCTGAAGTGATCGGGTTGGGTGATCTTCACAGGGCTTGGAAGGCTTTGTTGGGTTTGTATGAAAGAGTTATTAGGCTTGTGTTGGGCCTTCTACGGATTCAGTCCGGGCATTTTCGGTGTGTTAGGGTTTAGGGCCGTTTAGGGTTAGGGCTTTGGGGTGTCAAGCTTCAGGGGCGGCTCTGGGTTCGAGGCTTGTTAGGGTGCTGGGTTTATGGGATCGTTTCGGGTTTTGGGGTTTGGGGGTTTGGGGTTGAGGGTTTAGGGTTTAGGGTTTCGTGTTGAGGGTCCAGGGTCCGGGAAATTTTGCTTTTAGGTGCAATGGCCACATCGAGTCCCCGGTCGCCTACTGGACGCAAAGCACTATAAGCCAATAAGCCCGAGAATGGGAGTCGTTAAAGTGGCCCTGCAAACGGACCTCAAGATTGACCGAGTCTGAAACAGACCACGCTTGATCCATGAGGCTAACAGCATCATACTGAGGAGCCTGTTGCTAGGCGTTCCTGATGTCGCGGAACCTGAACCCGGAAGACCGGAAACCTTAAAATCTTCAAACCCTAAAACACATTGGAGCGAAAACCGTATGAAAACCCTTAACAAGCCTTGTAAAATTATATACAGATAGATAATGATAGCCCCATAACACCCTCGTAGTACCTGCGTCGCACCTTGCTGCCGTCACTCGCTCCGTGCTCCCCAAGCCCAAGCCAAGGGGCCCAGACTTTCGACGGCAGCCGCCAGGGGAACGGAGAGCGCCTGTTCAAAGAGAGCTTTGAGGCTTATTGAATGGGCTTAAAGTTTTAAAGGTTGTTCTATCCTTAGTAATCCCAAAACTTAAATCCTATAAAGACCCCTGATGCATGAAGTGTCCTTACAGCTCCAGAGAGGAAGTTCGGTCAGATTGGGGGGTTCTTTGTCGGCAGGGGAGTTGTGGCTGAAGGCTTTGGCCTCAAGAGGTTCGGCGTTTCATGGGGTTTGGGGGCGTGTAGAGTTTAGGATTTATGGTTTAGGGCTTAGGGCTTAGGGTCTTGCTTCAACCATCTGTCGCACGCGAGCCCAAAACCTCAAACCCTGAAGCTTTCAGACCCTCTGGAGACAGCAAGCTCTAAGCCACGCCCCTCAAACCCTCGCAAGAACGCGGACAAGCCTCCAAACCCGAAAACCTGGAGTAAACCCTTACAGTAACCTTGAAACTTCACGAACTCGTTACTCCGACATCCCCAAGAGCCCGAGACTTCGAGGAGCCTCGCCCCCTCGCGTTGCCATCAGCTTCGCGCGGACCGGCAGATGCTCGCGGCGTCCGAGGAGCCTCCTGACCTTTCTTCGGCCAGGCTTCGGCTCACGGTTTGGGCTTTGGGGTTTGGGGTTTAGGGTTTTTAGGGTTTAGGGTTTAGGGTTTAGGGGTGCAAAATGAGTTTGGGGGGCTTATAGCACAGGGGTTTGAATGAGTGGCCCCTGGTGGTTCTGCAAGGGGCTTTGCAATGGCTTATGGGCTTACGGACTGGGTCCTGAAGGGATTCAAGCCCTTGGGGGGGTCGGCTAAGCTCGCGTTGCATTCAAACCAAAATAGACCCTCTCCGACACTTAAAACGTCAGGCCTAAGCCCAGCAGCAAAAAGAAATACGGCTCTCAATACTCGGCTCCTGAACCTAGACACAAAACCCGCCAAACCCTATACCCAAAACCCGGGATCCTTAGAGTGACAGCCTCAGGCTGAACTGAATACTAATTGTAAGGGTTATAGTAAACCCCAAAAAGTTGTAAACCGTCTTAAGGACAAATTGTGCTGGGATTCCTGAAACCATTTCTTAAGGATTAAGGCTATCGAGTTTCCAACTTTTGGGCTTCTATCATAAGGGTGACCAGAATAGGACCTTGGCGTGCATGATAGGGGATGTTTACAAGAGATTCAGACCCCTATGTCACTTCAGGGTTTGAGGCTTTCTTGTGGTTTTCCGCTCTACGCCATTGTACTTTAGCGTGCATACCCCAAAAACCTTAACCTGATTGATTACTGAAGCTAGAAAGCCCGTATGTTCAACCCTAGAAGGACCCCTTGTGATACATGACTTCGAAATCCCTGCTCAAACCGCTATGGCACCTGCTTTGCCCCCCCCCAACCCCCCCCAACCCCCCCCCGCCCCCAGCACTTACAGACCCGAAACCCTGCGCTGCGCCGCCAGGGCGCCGCGATGCCTTCGGTGTCGAGGCCCCGGAGCGAAGAGACTGGGGAGCCGGCTGGCGTCGTGAGCCGCCTAAGTCTGGTGGAGATTTCTGGGGTTCCACAAGAATTCGATGAAGTCTTCCTACGAGTTCTATAAGGTTCTATAAGAATTTCTGAAACTCCCGCAAGTTCACACGTGTCTAGGAGTTTCATTCAGGGTTTCTTCGGATTCTAGGATTTGGGGTCTGCGCGTTCCGGGTGTGCGGGTTTGGGTTTCTGGGGTCGGGCTCGCTGGTGTCCAATTCGTTTCGTTCCTTGGTGGGTGAGCGTGTTCTGGTCCGGGTTCGGGTGGGGCTCGTAATGTTCAGCTCAAGGCACTGCCAACCTATAGGTTTTCATAACGCTTGATCTTGACGTCTCACCTAATTTGCCAATTTGACACCCAAAACCGAAAGGAAATCTAAACTGCTCCAACCCTGTAAACCACTTCCAAGCTCCCAAAGTCCTAAAACCCTAATTATAAGAAACAGAACCCTGTCTACACCCGACTTTTCCACGGGCTAAAGTGAGCTGAGCCCTTCCTCTGCAGGAAACTCCGGCGCTCCAAAAATCTGCAGCCGGTACGCGAGGCCGCGCTCCGCTGCAGAGACCGCCGCGCCACCTCCGGGGGGCCCGGGAACCAAGCCCCAAGAAGGAAAGCCCTTTAGGACCTATAACTTACTTCGCTGATAAGCCAGGGAAATAAAAGGTTAAACTTACAGATTACTACTAAGCTATAAGAACCTAAAAATATTAATGGTTGGGTATTGGGGAACTAAGATAATGGTTCTCAAAGGGCTTTTATAGTCTATTCTGTGAGGATCTTGAAAGGAGGTTTATGTATGGATTGTATACTGTTGGATGCGAGGGTTTTGGGGGGGCCTCCAGGTTGCTTGGAGTTACGAGTTTGGGGTTTGATTTTGGGGCGGTTTTGGCAGTTTCGGCTTTTGTCCCTGTGATAGCCTTGTGCCGAATCTGCACGGTAGCCCTATCGCTCGAAAGACTCCTCTGGTTTGGGGCGACAAAGCCCAAAGACCATACTCATGCAAGACTTTTGCGGATTTTAGGAAATCTTGTCTCGAAACCTAAACCCAAGCTCCACATACGCGCAGCCGTAACCTGGCCCTGGACTTCAAACCGCCAAGCACCAAAAGCCCAAAAACCCCACATCCCAAACCGGAAACCCTAAATCCCTCCACCTTAAACCCACTACCTACGCTCCTTGACAATGGCCTGCGCCGCCCGAGGCTTCCCGGCACGCTCGCAAGCGCCCAAGGCGTCATGGAGGCCCAGAAGCTGAGCTTCAGGGAGCAAAGCCAGGGAGTGTGCCTCGCGTTGAGGGATGCCAGGGCACAGAAAAGGGACTTCATGGCCCCGAGGGCTTATTCTGAGAGCAGAGACTCCATATACTGTGTATAATTTGATGCATATTCCTTGCTTGGAGGATGTCGGAGTCTCTGGCGGGGGCGTCGCTGTGAGGGGCTCAACAGTTCAAGTCTTTACGGAGCTGAAAAGGTTTGAGGACTTGGGGCTGACTATGTCCAGGGTCTAGTTAGTCTTCAGGGTTGAGAGGAGGTCTGTGGGCATAAGGATTAACGCAATGGCTCACATCCTTCATTACAACTACAACTTGACCCCAAATACTTAAACCCAAACGTGTGCACTTGCAGGATTAGACACAAGCAGGCTGGTTCAAAAGATGGTGACCGCAGTTACGACACTGAGAACCTCACTGTCTTGCCTTACACCCTATGCCCTAAATCCTGACCTAAACCCTCAACCTTCTAGGGCCTCTACTCCAAAACCTAAACCCCAAACCCTAGACCCGATTCCCTAAACCCTGAACCCCAAGATCTGCTACTCATCCCATCGATTCTGCTAGAAGAAGGTTTAGGTTTGGGGTTTCGGG